GGTGATGATTTATCCTGGCCCTCTGTAGATCTGCTTTCATTTTTTTAGTTTAGTTTCAGAGGAAGTTCATGAAATTTAGGGTGGTTTTGTGCCCAAGTTTTGCAATTTATACTGATACAGTTAAAATGTCAAAACATAATAGTAATTGATTAATATTATTTTAAAAACAGTTGTAAGAGTTCAGGGAGGTGAAATCTCACTCACGTAAATCTGCCTTGCACCAGGTCAACTACAGCTTTTATTACCGTGACCAAAGCCATAACTGCCATAGTACTGCAACCAATTATTTCTATTTTTAAACTGAATATGTAAGACATTAAAGAAAATGTCACCTGTATATTTTTGGACTCATGTTCTTGTCAAATACCAGGCATAAGTAGCCATATTTTGAAGCAAGCTCTGCCTCACCACTAAGTACCACAAGTACAAAGTTGCTTGCTTCTTTAAATTATATTTATTATGACACTCTGGAATGGAGTACACACTAATTTTACCAGCTAAATGGAAATTTGACACCTCTAGGCTATATCCATAGCTACTAGTTACAAAAAATAATAACCATGTGTTGCAAAAAAACAACAAAATATTTAGTTTTCAATTGTCTTATTATACATCAAATACATTATATGCAAACTGTCATGGTCCAGTCCTGTGTATTATTTCATTGTATTTCAGTATTGCTAGGAGCAAGCATAAGAAAAAATATTTTAATCTGTTTTGGTTTTCCTTTCAAATTCTTCAGTCTGTGAAATTATGTGAGCTAACAACTTGGTTTCAGCATGGAAAAGGTTTAGGACTGCAAATATATATATATATTTATTTTTTTTTTTTTTTTTTGCCCCAACAGGCATTTTCTTTCTTTAACAACAAGAAAAATACTATCTAAAACTTGAATAAAATGAATTATCTTCTACTGCACTGAAATATATCTTTTAAACTCAAAAGCAAAGGAGACCTAGGCTAAGCTTAATTAGACACAGATGCGTTAAGTCTTGACAAAAACTGATCAATGCATTTTAAGCTGTTTTTTACTTTTTTATTTTCCTGTTTACTCCAAGATTCCTGTGAGTATAGAACCAGCATTGCCCTTTTTTTCCATTTTTGACACTAATTGAGAGATATCTTAATTGGAAGTCTTTGGAGAGACACTTCCCTGGGCGCTTCGCTGAGGTTGTTACAGGAGATCAGGTAAAGCAGCCTCCCAAATAATCAGTATCTAGGCAGCGAAATTAAGTTGTAGCGATGGAAAATACCGTGTGTTTTGGGTTTTTTTTCCCTAAAAAGGACCTTTTTTGGTGATTTTTGAGTTGCGGAGCGGTCGGAGGCCGCGAGGGAGTAGCGCTGCCTGGGGCGCCCTCTAGCGGCGCCGCTCTGGGAAACGCAGCCCGCTCCGGGAGCGCCAAAATAAAGGTTTTTTTTAATAATAAAAACCAAAATAAAGGTTTCATAACGCCGGTGGGATTGGCAGCGCCTTAAACAGAGAGCTCTGGGTAAGGTATTGTACCACAAACACCGCTTTGAGAAATAGGTAAAGCGTCTTCTGATGCGAGCAGCCTTCCTCCCTTCTGTTCCATTGAGAATCCTGACGAGACACGGTCGTGCACCTTAGCAACAGGTGTAATTTTGATGGGAAAAAAAAATACCTACGTGCAATTCTAAACTACGATTGGCAAAAAATCTCCCTCAGGAAGCAGGCTGAAGAGTGCACACATAATAACCAAAGCTGAACTGAGTGGACATAATGCCCTACGATGCCAACACACAGCCCAGGTAGGACTGACACTTCTGTACTGATACCTCGGTGTTCTTGTCAACAAACCCATTCCGTGACCCCGCTGTGGATAGGTCTGGAATGTTGCATAATCCTATGAAAACCTTAATACCGAACGTTTTGTTCTCCAAATCAAAGGAAAGGAATCCACATCCCAGTGGCACGCGCTTCTGCATAACTCTTCTGTTCAAAACAATCCCAAGCATTTTTAAATGAACAGCTTCACCGACTGCTGAGGTACAGCAATCCCTGGAATGGGAATTACTGAGCCCTTGGCAACATTACATAGCTGGAAGCATCCATGGCCATTCTCTGCTATTCCTTTGCCCCTGCAGCAGATATTTGTTCAGCAAGTCCTGCTCTGTACTAGCACTGAATGCATAAAGTTCTTGTTGGGGTCCAGATAAGTGTTCTGTCTAAGAAACTCTGCTTTGCAAAGCAATTCATTCATTCTCTAGCCCATGAGGGAGTCAATTTTTCAAAGTTAGGGTCAAAGAATTGTGAGACTATGGACATGAGTTCCTCTGTTTCTCTGGTGAGCAGTTTTGGTACTTGGATTACAGAGCATGGGATGCCAGGGAATATAATTTCCTGCAAATCACACATAAGACTGATCCCTCTTTGGTATTTTATCACCACCATACCACTGATATTAAGGTGATGTCCAAAAGGATTCTAAAACATACCCTGTTACTAAAGAGTAATGTTCTTCACTTTTGCAGAACACAACATTTCTTAACTCAATATGTTAAGAAATCCAGGTCTGATGATGATTTAAAAGCACTTTATTTCAACAGGTGTTTGCTCTCTCAGCAAGAAAATACAAGGAGAGCTAGGCATGCAACATACTCATAAAATCAATTCCATTTCTGAATGTGAATTTTTTGAGCTATATCAAACAATATCTGCATATGTTTTTTGAAAATTTTGAGATATTAAAAATATTTCTATTACTGCCATGTTAATTTTCACATTAAATCAGAACCTGTCAGGCACGGGAGTTAAAGGACTTGCCAAAAGCCAGATTGAAGAGAGAAGCCTGGTAGGAAAGGAAGATGGGTCTTCCAACATCCAGGTCAGTACCTGATTTACTGCACCCCTGTTGTTCTCCAGCTACAGGTATGGTCAGTGTAGGTATCTACCTGCTTTGTTATTGCCCTGCACAGTCACAAGGAGAAAAATTCTGTACCTTGGCATGGTCACTTCTGTCATTTCTCCAGAAGAAACAGCTCTTGTCTATCCTGGTGGTCATAAATTCAAAATCTCAGTCATGACTCTAGCTGATTATTCTTTAATTGCACACACAATTCAGTTGAAAGGAGAATGAATAAAAACATATTTATTTAAGACTAACCAGTATTTGGAACCCTATAATGAATATTAAATAGTATTTAATAATATTTATATGTTAAAATAGGTTAAACAAGCCACTAAAGTAAGGAGGGGGAGAAAAACAAAAGGATGTGACTTTTCTTGCTAGTAAGTAAAATATCCTGCAAAATATCCTGAAGGTTTATTTTTTCTTTTACAGGAAATCACTTGTAATTGCATTAAGTTGGAAGGAAATTTATTTTTATTGTGGCAGGTAACAGAATAGCCTTTTAGTATATTTTGTTTGGAATATTTGAATAGATATGCAATCCTGTTAGTGCGCATCATTCTGAAATTTATAGCTTTCCAGTAGAAGCTAATTTAAAATAATGAAAAAAAATATTGTTTATTCTAGCATTTTTGCATGTCTAGACTGCTTCTTAAACACAAGCTGTGCTGTAAAGTACAGCTAAAGACACAATATATTTCAGCTTTCTTAGTTTGTTTCTATTTTGCAAGACATAAATCCCCAGACACTCTTAAAGATGCACAGAACAGCACAGTGCAACTTGTTACATTTACAAAATGTATTTAAATGAACAGTTTCTGCAGATTCCTATTACTCAGTTTGCTGTTATCAAGGACAGGTATTTCATTAATTCCTAGCTGGAAGACTGAGTCTGATTTTGATCTTATTTGAGTTATTTTAAGCTGACACCTGTATTGTCACAGATATCATTGCTGCTGGCTCACAAGCTCCCCCTGCCATGCCTGGCACAGCCCCTGCCAAAGCCCTGCCCTTTGGGTGTGAGTACATAAACTCTCAAAGCAGAGCAAAAAAAAATAATGTATTTTATACATAATTCATGGCTTTTAAAAAACATTGTCACTTGACAGCTGAGTTGATAATAAAATTAGTTTGTTCTACCTCCCGCTGTTAAGTACGAGCCTTCCAGAGCTCTGTGTTTTAATGGTTCTGGCAACACCTCTGTGAGATGATAACCACCACTGGTGCCTGGCTCTCCCTCAAAAATCTGTGTATTTAGAAATGGGCCCTTCTGGAAATAATGGAGTCTAAACTTCTTCCCTATCAGCAATAGGTGCATAATGTCTCCACTCCTGGAATGAAAGGAGTAGGGTGCATGCAGACATGTGACAATTGTTCATCTCAATTTGTGGCTCTAGGGTTTCTTTTTTTATACATCTGTGTCACTTCTAGTTATTTTTGTGTATGACATAAAGTGATTTGACCTGATGTTATGCTTCTTGGCCAAAAAATAATATTTCCACAAATAATTTAGAAAAAAAAGAAGATCAGCCACTGTATTCATAGAGCACTACAAAGGGTTGGACTCTGAGAGACCCAGACCCACAGTTTGTGCTATTAGCAAATCCAAATACAGGATCAACTGGCATTGACGGAGAATGGGGCAAAGGAGATAAACATTTCTCCCAGAGAAGGTAAAACTTGGAATTTCCATTGTTGAGAAGCAGAAGTAAAATCCAAGCTAGTGCTCAAAAACCCGAGTGGGATTTATTTTACATTTCCACTAAATGAGGATGTGGAAAAAGGAGAGAAAGAAATTGCTGCTCACACAAGTATATGGAGAAAAAGAGTCATATTTGGGACTGAGGCAAAATCCTAGCAAAAGATGTGTCATGATGTGGTTGCAATTTGTTCTCTGAGTTTTTCTGTTGTTCTAACAGCAAAGAAGAAACAAAGCAGAACTCTGTGAGGCCTTCAGCAGAGAAAGACCTCCAACCTTATCTGTCAGGCTGGTGAAAATAGTTCCTTTTTGTTCCCTGCACCAGTCTCCACACAGCCCGCACCCCCAGCACTGAAGGGAAGGCTTGTGTCTCTTCTTTTCTTGCATAGAGACATAAAAGTGAATTACACTCTTTCTTTGCAGCTGTCATCATGTGGCCTCTCAACGACTTATCTGGCGACCAAAGTAAGGCTACTCAAGCAATATATTTTACATGACCTTTGCAAAAATGCTGAGAATTCGTCCTCCAGGCAGTGCATTTTTATTAACAGGTTTTTCCATGGCTGTAAAGCCAGGAGTTGTATAATATCTATGAGACTCTTACATTTTGAGAAGTTAATAAAAAAACCTGGCATCTGTGGGAAGAAGAAGCACAATAATTGCAATCAGGGGAAGGCAGGGGCAGCCCCTGCTCTGCAGGGCAGCAGCTCCCTGCAAGGCAGCCAGCCCCAAAGTCTCAGGGACCTGCTAGGACACAAATTGCTCTTAATCAGCCACGGTGCTTACAGCATCCTGAGGAATGAGCTGTAGGTGCTCTATGGAAACCATAGTTCTGAGAGTTTGCCTGCTAAGTGCAAGTTTTAGAAAGGAAGCAAGCTTGACCTTCACAGTATGCAAAACTTTGGCTCTGGTCCTAGCTCTTTTCACATGTGAATAGTTCCTGTGGGGCCTCTTCGTGTGCTCAGAGTAACAAACAATTTCAGGATTTAGACCTTGATCTGAATCAAGGGTAGCAGCAATACCTTCTGTTGGACAGAAATATTTTGTTCATAGCATTTTCTGCATGAACAGAATTAGTCTGACTCAAACTCTTCAGTTTTGTGATGTAGCCGCTCTGGTTTGTAAAGGGTTCTTGCTCTTTTCCAGGTTTTCTCCCCAATATCTGTTAAATAAACCACCTAGTCCTTACTCTTTTTTTTTTTTGGTTTTTTTTTTGTTTGTTTTTTTGTTGTTGTTGTTTTTTTTGTTTTTTTTAATGAAATAACAATTTTTTACTAAATGTGACTTCTGGCTGTGCATTTCAAATACATTGAGGCAGAATGCTGGATCCATTGTAGCTTAGACACCCCCTGGAAAGCTGGACAGGTCATCCCCCCCAAGACATGTCCCTCACTTTCCTTTCTAGACTGGCTGATGCTATCACAGTTGATTGCTCTTGCACAGGACAAACCATCCTGAAGGTCACTTGTGTCCAAGCAATCCACAAAAATTCCTTCCCCAGTTGCCTTTTCTTAGGAATAAAATACAACTGTCCATTATAGACTTTGCTGTTTTAGAAATCCACTATAACAGCAGCTCAGTGAAATGGGCATTAACAGGATTGATATGCAGTCCTCATCTGTATGCCACCATCGTGATGTAAACCAAACACACAGAACTGCACTCTGCTTTTTTATTTTTTAGCCTTTTGTAGTTGCTGTATATCCCATTTTATTACAAAATGTTCAGGAATGTTGATAAATAAGTCTCGCTGACTGGAAGGTGTTACTCCCAGCAGCGTGGTGCACAGCAGCCAGGACATGAACTCTAATTTGTGGGTAATGTTCTGTTGGTACGGAACGAGGCAGCTCTGCCACCTGTATGTACGTGGGACAGAAATAATGAAGCCATAACTTCACAAAACTCACGGAATTTAGCACCCAGAAGAGTAAAATACAATGGGCATTTGGTTAGAGTCAGGCAACTGAAATACGATATGGAAATATGACCTAGAAGAAAAGGCATTACATCTGTTCTGGAGTATTTCAGCATGGTTAATGGCCATGCAATTGTTCATTCCTTGTCCATATTCAAAGAATCTCATTGAATACATGTGTTAACAGGTAAGATGGAGACCATTCAGTGAATGACCGGGGATTTTCATAAGCTGGTTTTAGAACTTGCTCATCCTCTCACTTATATACCTTTATTTCAGAGAAATTCTGACATTTAAACTATATTTAGCGATAAAAGTGAGGCATCACCTACATCTTGCTAGAGTGAAGAAGGCAAATTAAGGCTTTCACAGATATTTTCATACTATTTTTAAAGAAGAACACATGAAAAACGTGTGCTGTTAGGGTAAGTGCAATGTCTTCTCTTCATCAGAAGAGTTTAAAACTGTCTTGTCACCCAAATACAGAAAAAATGCTCAATTATTTACAAAGAATTATTGTGTTCACTGAGAAGTCCCTACTGCAGGCATCTGGCAAAATACTGCAAATAATACAAGACACTCAAATTATTAAAATCAACACCACAAATTAACTATTAATTAAACTGCATTTTCACGCAAGCTGAACTCACCACCACAACCTCACTGTGCCATCACTGATCCCTGATCACAGACTGAACTGACTTCACAGGGCCACCAGCCCCCACCCCCGGCTGCATCGCCCCGGGCATCGCCCCCAGGCGGACCCCCCGACCCCAGCGCTGCCCCTCCGGGGAGCGGGTCCGGCTCCAGCCCGGCCCCACGGACACCGGAGGCCGCCGGGGGCGACCGAGGCCAGCGCTGCTCCCCTCGGCGGTGAGTCCCCGCCGGAGGCTGCGGCACCACACCCCCGCCTCTGCCGTGGTCTCCCGCACCCCCGAGCTCCGGCCCGAAAGAGGAACCGCCGAAACGTGCGGGACTCCCGCCCCACTCCGCGCCCAGGGCAGCCAACACCTCCGGGTACCCAAAACCCCCGAGCCCGGGCACTCAGCATCCCCCGAGCCCGGGCACTCAGCATCCCCCGAGCCCGGGCACTCAGCATCCCCCGAGCCCCGGTACCCATCACCCCCGCGCCCGGGCCCTCAGCATCCCCCGAGCCTGGGTACCCAACACTCCCGAGCTCGGGCACTCAGCATCCCCCGAGCTCGGGCACCCAGCATCCTCTGAGTCCGGGTACCCAAAACCCCCGAGCCCGGGCACTCAGCATCCTCCGAGTCCGGGCACCCAACACCCCCGCGCCGGGCACTCAGCATCCCCCGAGCCCGGGTACCCAAAACCCCCGAGCCCGGGCACCCAACACCTCCGGGTACCCAAAACCTCCGAGCCCGGGCACTCAGCATCCCCCGAGCCCGGGCACCCAACACCCCCGAGCCCGGGCACTCAGCATCCCCCGAGCCCGGGTACCCAAAACCCCCGAGCCCGGGCACCCAACACCTCCGGGTACCCAAAACCTCCGAGCCCGGGCACTCAGCATCCCCCGAGCCCGGGCACCCAACACCCCCGAGCCCGGGCACTCAGCATCCCCCGAGCCCGGGCATCCAGCCCTGCCGCCGGGAAGGCTCCGCTCAGCCCGGGCGCTGTCCCCCAGCCGCCCCTGCTCGGAGCCTTCTCGCGGCGCCCGTTCGGCAGCGGGAGCGCGGCTCGGCTCCGCTGCCACCCCGGGCTGCGGCGGGGGCGGTCGGAGCGGGCACGGCCGCACTGACGGGCAGGGAGGGCGGGCGGCGGAGCCGGGGGCGGCAGCTCTTCTGCGGGCACGGGCGCTCTCCCAGCCGGGGCCAGGCCGAGGGGCGATCCCTCACATCCCCTCTCGCTCCTCCGCCGCGGCGCTTGTGCCGGCGGGGAGCCCGGCGGCGGGAGGCAGGAACGCATCGCCGCGCCCCGCTCCGGTCCCGTTCGCACCCCGAGCGCCGCTGCCCCCGCTTCTCCCCAGCCCGGATCCGCCCGCCGGGCAGCACCGCAGGGCGGGGGGCGCCGGCGGGGACTGGGGCCGCCCCCCGGCGAGGCGGCGGAGCGGCCACACCGCCGCTTTCGGGGGATTCTCCGAGAGGAGCGGGCAGGGCGGCTCCGGGAGGGGGAACCCCCCTCGGCCCGGCCATTCGCGTCCCCGGCGTCGCTCCTCCTCCCGGCGCTGATGTCAGCCGCGGGGAGGGCCGGCTGGCAGCGGCAGAGCGGGGCGCGGGCGGCCGCGGCAGAGCCCAGCCGGAGCCGCCGCCGCCGCCGCCGGGACAGCGCGGGCTCCGGGGCGCCGCCGGCAGCGCAGCCCGCGCCCCAGGGCCAGCCGGGCAGCTCCGGGCAGCTCCGGGCAGCTCCGGGCCAGCCCCGCCGGGCGCCGGGCGAGCGGCCAGCGGCGGCCGCTGCCCCGCGGGGGAAGCCGGAGCTCCGGTGTCCGCAGCCGCCCGGCGAGGGAAGGGCAGCCGGGCTGCGCCGCGGAGCCGCGCCGAGTTCAGGGGCTCTCCGCGCAACTTGGGTTACGCGGCCGGACCTCTGCGGACTGGTGCGGGGCTGCCAGGGCGCGATTGCCTTCGCATCGTCTCGCGGCTGCAAAAGCAGATAATTGACTAAACCCAACAGAAATAAAACAAACTCAGGCTACCTAAAAGTTAGGATACCTTTTTTCTTTTTTTTTAATCCCCACCCCGTTTCTTTTACAATTTTATTCCCTATGTGGAAGTCGTGTGTGATTCGCGCTCGGCGCACTGCATGGGAAGAAGCGGCTAGTGCTTTGGATCGAGGATTTGCTGTTGCAAAGCGGTCTAACTTCCATGCAGTGGGGCAGCCTTCACTACTCTAAACGCCTTGATGATGTGCTGAGGAGCCCATGTAGATTGGCATCTTGTGCAGAGAAGGCACTTAAGGTAAGAAAGGGGCTTGGGGAAAAGGGGGATTTTTGTATCCTTTTATATGATATCTTTTGTCCGGCATCCCGCCCCCCCACCATTGGATGCAGAGCCGTAGCGGTTCATCCAGAGCAGTATGGATAGGCTGGAACGGATCAAGTGAAATGAAAGTCTGCTCCTGTGGAAAGTGCACGGAGCTCACAAGTGATTGCAAAAGCTGTATTTATTTTTAGTCTGGTAGCACAGCGCGGTGAGGATGTGTGCTCACGGCGCGGACAGTGAGCAACTCGCCTAGCTCAGGAATGAGGAGATCCACGGGCTCAGCCTCCGATGGGCAGTTTGCATTGGCTGCTGCATTTTGTTGAATGTGTACCCCCCGCTACCTCCCTAGAGCATCCCATCAGCCTGTTTGATTTGTTGTTTTTTGCAGATATAGTGCCTACTATTAATGAGAGGGGGTGAGGGGTGCGAAAAAAACCCGAAAAAAAAAACCCCATATGGAACATTTTATTGATGTGATCATAATCCTGTAATGGAGATTGCATTAAATGAGGATTGCATCAAAATGCCAGGCTGCTGTGGGGAGCAGAGAAAGCAAAAACTATGCTGGATTGTAAATGAAGTTCTTTGATTGAAGGATTTTTTTTTTGAACCATGAAGGGATGTCTGTAAGCTTAAAGTTGCTGTATATGTGGAGTACTGGAATGGGATGAAAACCAGAGGAAGCTGAAATGTGTTTTAATTGACTCAAGCTCTGGATACAGTTAGAAATGGTTAGAGGCATTGCAGTGATGCCCAGTGAATTCTTGGTTTCAGCTATGGAGAGCACAGAGAGGCAAGGAGAGAGCAGAACACAGAAAGAGAAGGAGAGAACGTGATGGTGTGGGGAAGGGAAGGATGGTTTGTGACTTTTGCCATCGTGGTACAGATCTTGCAGCCTGCTGGCTGCAGGCAGAAACCTTGCAGGCGATGTGGAAGGCAAAGGATTTATCTCTTTACTCTCCTTTTGCAGCCTGGGTGTAGTTGCCTGTAAAGTAGCTGCGAGGTGCATGGCAAGAGGCAAGCAGGGACCTATTTGCCCTTCTCGGACACTGAAGGAAACTGAGGCTGGGAGAGATGCAGTCACCTCAGCTCATCCTGCCTTTTTGAGCTTGAGTTGATAATACATTTTGAGTAATTGTTGCTGCTTATCTCAATCGGCAGAGGAGGGGAGAAGATGTTCAAGTTTATTGAACCAAAGCAGACCTGAGGACAGTAGATACTATCAGCTCATCCTTGCATTCTTTTTGCGCTCAGTTGTATTCTGGCTTGGAGAGCTGAGCCACAAAGAGCACCTTCTTCAAGCCTCACTGAAAGGAAGCCTAAAGACAACAAAAAGATTAAGTGCAAGATAAATTGTAACTTTTTGCTTGTCTGCAGTGGAAGTAGCATTGAACTGCCAGATTGCACAGGTCAAAAGAGGTAAGATAAGGAACAAAGTTATTTATTTATTTATTTATTTACTAACATTCCCACACACACAAACAAAGTTGGCGTGCAGAGAAACATCCCAGAGCGGCGGATGCACCGTGGCTGAGCACGACCTAAGAAACTGACGTAAAGAGCAGAGAAATTAGTGTAAGAATTCTCAGCAGTCCCCATCTGTAACTGCAAAAGAGTTGGTTAAATGCTAATTTGCAAACCAACCCTGCATAGCTGATGTTCTCAGAAGGAATTTGTTCTCCCATTTGTGTACAGGATCTCAGGTAACATCTCCAGAACTCAGTCTCTCTCTTGCTGTGTTTTTGGCATAAAGTTGAGACGGAAACACTTATTTTAAATAAAATGAAGAAAAGTAGTATAAGCATGTTGAATTCCTCTTAAACATTTTATTTTGGCAAAAGGCAACTTTTCGTGAATTGTAAGAGATAGGTTTAGAATATTCATGGCTTAACTCCAGGGAGCTTAGTGTTAGCTCAGTAGGCAGAAGGTTCTTCCTCTAAAGAGGTATCTGGAAAAGATGTTTAAATTTCAAGCCATATTCAGTAGAGACTGTTGGTTTCCACATTTTAAAATCATTTTTTTATGCCTCTAAGGGGAATGGTGCTTAATCTGAGCAATAAAGCAAGTACTCCTAGCTTGCTTGTTTAATGGAAAAAGCAAGCAGCGTGCTCCAACTGTACTTCTGTATGTCCAATACTCCAGATTTTACTCTATTTTTTATCAAATAACAGCTGTGGAAGAAGTTTTATCCTTTGAAACCATGGTTATTCATGCAGACCTCGGTGTGTATTTTTGCTACAGAAGAACTCTACTTCATGGCTGCATTGTTCATTCTTGAAGCATTTCTTTAAATGTGAGCCTCACTATAGTTAAAGGATAATTTATATTCAGTGTAGTACTGTCTGCACAGTGGAATTGGCTTTATACATCACAGCCTCTGCAAAAAAAGAGATCAAAGATCTGAACCTGTGGTCCTGAATTGAATTTGTATTCTAGGTGGACTTGAGTAATCTCATAGTGGAGCCATTCATGCTCCCAGTTAGGAGTATGTCAGCCTTTCCATTAAAACACCCATTTGCTTACAAATGTAATAGCTGGTTTTAAGGACGGGCTCCAAGCTTAAATTGGAACATTCATACAGTAAATGGAAAAAAACAGATATCCTAAACAATCAAGTCTCATAGCATTTGGTACTGCTGAGTTTATAGAACGCTTAGCAGGCAACAACACCTGTATGAAAAATTGAGAGGTTAAAAGGGAAAACAAAACCAGCAAACCTTTCAAAAGGCCCTTTTGGATCCAGGTGAGTGTTTCCACCTGAATTTTAAAGGACCCTGCGGTTGTTAAACAGTCAATAGGACTTTTCTTAAAGGAGGACAGCACTGGCTCCAAGCAGGAATTAGTCAGATTTCAATTCAGTTTCACACCCCATCAGAACTAATGCCTTTGGCACTGATCCACGTAGTTCTTTGGAGGGTTAAGTTGCAAGAACAATAAACTCCAAACCTTGTATTGTAACCAGTGAAGTTTTCCTTTCAGCGAGCCAAAGGCTCACTTTTGAATAGTGCTGATTGTCTGACCCAGGTGTTGGAAGCCTTCGGGGGATGCTGCTGCTAACTCTCACTGCCAGGTTATCCACCTGGAAGAGCCAGCCCGGTAATCCTGCTTCCCATCAGCTGACTGCCAGCGGGACTATGCAGACCCCTTTTGTCTAGAGCATCCCAAACCTTTTCCTGGAATTACAAATACCTCTGGATCCAAGAGTAGAGTTGCTCACGCCATGTAATGCCAATGTTCAAGGAGCAGGTTCAAGATGCAGCTTCCTGTATTCCAAGTATTTTGGACTGGATGAAATAAATGAGTATTGTTTGCCATTTACATAAAAATTCTTTGGGGAGATTAATATTCTTCTGTCCCAATTACCTCTTTCTGCAAAGAGTTTGCTGAGGAAATTTGTGGCAGTTGTCTTTCTTTTGTGAATTAGCAGTGACCATATCTGTCTTGGGTCTTTGAAAATTCATCCTCCTTGCAGATACCCAGGCAAGTAACAGGATGTCAGGAGGAGTTAATGTGAAAATTAAAATACAGATGAAAAACACTGTGGGATTTAGTGGGCATAATCAAATCATGGTAGTTTTGACAGTAAGTAAGAAACTGTGTCATAATTAAGTATTCTTTTCCTTTGAAGTCTGTTGTCATTGTGCTTGATGAAATCCTGTTGGAAATTATTTCTGAGACTCTTAGAAAATATATGATTTCCCATAGAGTATGCAAGATTTAGCCTTCTTGATCCCACACGGTCTGAGCCAAATCTTCCTGCAATCTGTGAAAAAATTTCTAGTGGAGCAGAGCCTTCCATAACTGCTTTTAGCCTTTCATTGCGTGCATACTTCAACTTCTGCCAGTCCTTCAGGAGTTCTACATGTTCATGTGGTATTGAAGGCATTGCTGTGAAGCAGTTTTACTTGCAGGGGTGGCAGAACTCAGCCAGTTTAACAACAAATGTTTTACTAACTTTTCAAGGAAGCTCTTCCTAATGTTGTTTTCCTTAATTTAAGTTGTAAAGGGAACTTAAGTAACTTAAGATCATCGAAGAGCCAAACGTGTTGTTAGAGAGACAGGTTAATGTTGAAGTCACTGGAGACTTCCAAATTAAATAATGAAATTACAAGCAGAGGTGCCCACTGTCTTTAAAAGCCATCTCTGGTGGGTTTAATGTGGCAGTTCCCTGTGCTCAGAAACTTCTGCTTCATCTTCCCACCAAGGGAACATCTTGCCTCGTGTTCTACTTTGATGTGATATGGTTGTTTTGGGGAAGATTTTCTTCCTCCAAGCCGGTCTAGAAATAAGATGTCACTGGTGATGTAGTCTGTTTGCATATCAGTGTTTATATGTTACATCCTTAAGGACATAGTTTTATTATGGTTGTAGGACTTTAATTAGTCATTATGTACGCTCAATGCTGTCTACTGAAGTAGCAGGAAATACATGCTAAAGGGGGAAAAATCAAGTATAAGTTTATAATGCTTATGCACAGCATATTTCATTTAACCAACTGTGCAATCTTGTTAAATAAATAAATGCCTATGTATGGAAATCTATGATCTGCTGGATACGTGCTGTCACACGTGGGCACACTGCAGCCACATGCACTCATGTTTCCAGCTGTAGTCCCTGGCACAAGACACAGCCATGCCCACCCCAAGGAAAGTATGAAATGCCTGGGGGATGGCTGAGCTGCAT